GACCTTTCAGCCCGCAGGCCGATGCTCTATCCACTAAGCCAAACTGGCTTTGACAAATGCAGCAGTGTATTTAAAATGCATCTGGATCGAGGAGGATTTATCCCAGGGATACAAGAGCGTTTAACATCGGAAAAATATCTATCGTCATTATTCAGCACCTGGGAAAAGTAAAGGAAAAAAACAGACCATCCTCTGATAGACACAGAAACGCATTTGCACATCTGGTGAGAATTCATGGTGAAACTTCAGCAAACCAGGGGCACAGGGTATCTTTCCCAGCGCAGGCCACGTGTACCTACCAGTGAAATGTGAGGAGGGCGTGGCAGTCAGGGCCAAGGCAAAGGTGCCCCCCCCCCCTGTAATGGAGAGTCTGACCTTGAGATGCTCAAACTGGCGCCACTAGCTACTACCACAGGTGGGTTTTCAAGTTCAAATTGTATTAAAGATTCAGTTCCCGAGTCTCATAAGCTTTACTTCAAGCATTAAGCAGCCAGCTGTGGCGACCTCAGTGCTAAGTGCCTGCACGGGGCCAAGGGCGCTCATGTCCTCTTCCGAGTTATAATTCAGTTCTTCCTACAACAGCCAGCACTGGAGTGAGCCCCGCCCTGCAGAGGTGACACTGAGGCAGAGGGACCAGGTGACGTGCCCAGAGCCATGGAGCCAGGACAGGAAAAGCCAGGATGTGAACCTCAGCCCACTGGCTCGAGCTTGCCCTTTGACATGATGCTCTTTTGTCTCAGTTCCCCTTAAGTGCACCAACAAACAAATTGGATAACATAATGGGGGGAGAGAAGGGACAGACCAAAAAATATGTCTTTACAACAGTAGCACAATTTTTAAATATATATATTTTATTGATTTTTTACAGAAAGGAAGGGAGAGATAGAGAGCTAGAAACATGGGTCAGCTGCCTCCTGCACACCCCCCACTGGGGATGTACCTGTAACCAAGGCACATCCCTTTGACTGAGATTGAATCTGGGACCCTTCAGTCCACAGGTCGACGCTCTATCCACTGAGCCAAATCAGTCAGGCAAGACACTTTATAAAAAAATTAAAAAATGAAGCATGAAGCAAACCAAAGACATGCAAGACAGCTCCTTGCTGGGGAGGAAGTCCTACCTCCCAGTCCCTCGCTCTGTCTGGCCAGGGTGGGGTGGCCGCAGGAGGCCGGAGGCACTGTTCGGCACAACTGCAGCCGCTACCCCAGGCAGTGAATCACCTCCTGGATTTCAAGCGAGGACCCCTGGCTGAACTTTCCAATATTCACTGTGGCTTCCCCTCCTTCTGGGGGTGACCTGTGAGCCTCGTCTCCACCCAGCAGGTCTCCCTCTACCCACAGCAACTCAGTGACGGTGCTTGTCTCCAATCTCTCCCTGCCCTGAGCGCCGAAGGTCTCTCCGTGCTGGACCCCTATCAGGACACAGACACGGTTGTCAGCACCATGAAGAAGCTCTTTGCCTTCTGAGCAGGGCCAAAGGCCTCAGCCAAGCTTTCCCACTTCCTGTTGGGCTCACTGCTTCCCAGGGGTGGAAAGAAGTCTTTCCGGCTTGTGCAGTGGAATGGCTTGTGTTCTGAGAAGTTTAAAGGACTGTCCCATAATACCTCACTCTTAATGTGAGCTCCTGGCGCCCTCTGCTCTGTCTCATTACAGACTGCCCAGTGTTCTCACTAGTCACAGAGCCAAGGGGACGTCCCTATCGGGCTCCAGAGTAAGAAGAGGCAACAGAACTTGAGGAGCTATCGTGTTTCCCCGAAAATAAGACATCCTCCGAAAATAAGACCTAGTGCATGGAAAGATAAGACACCCCTGAAAATAAGACCTAGTGCAACTTTGGGAGGAAAAAATTAATATAAGACACTGTCTTATTTTTGGGGAAACAGTACTTCTGGGATTCCCTTCGGGGCACCGAACGCCCTGGGGACCCATGGGCTGTGCCTCTTCGTGTCCTCAAGCTCAGTCATGGTCCACCTCTGCCCCTCTTCTTCCCTCAGAGCTGAACAGTAACCCCTAAAGCACCTCCAGTCTGTTGATTGTTCTAACACTAAAGCTCACAGCTGCAACAATACTTATACCTTCTCCTCTAACCGGGGAAAGGAAAATGAAATTCCTGTAGGATAATTTTAAATATATATATATATAAAGAATTAGGTGAGTTAATCTTTGTGGAGTTATTTGCTTTGTATACGTAAAGCCCAAGTAGGTACAGTGGATAGCTTCTGATTATCTGCCATCCCTGTTACAGCTCTCCCAGTAAACGTTTGTTCCTCAGTTGGAAGGCTCACAGATCCAGGGAAAATGTTCTGATCATACTAATTACAACCAGGAGGGTATCGAAACATGGTGAAGACTGTGCTCACTTGTCAGTGTTCTTGGGTTGCTAAGTTATCTTCCATTCACCTTCCATTTCTCAAGGTCCTAGAACTTCAACCACCAAGAGCTTCTAAGAAAGAGGGACTGTGGACTGTTATGGACTGAAGGTGTGGACCCTCCCCAACACCTCCAATTCGTATGTTATTAACCCCAAGTGTGGCTGTGTTTAGCATATTTGGAGATGGGGCTTCTGAGGAAGTAATCAAGGTTAAATGAAGTCATAAGGGTGGGGCCCTGGTACTACAGATTAGTGTCCTTCCAAGCAGAGACTTTAGAGAGTGCCCTCAAACCCCCACATTGAGGAAAGACCAGTGAGGGTAGAGATGTGATTGTCTAGATAATCCAGAAAGGCCTTCAGAAACCAAGTTTGCTGCCACCTTAATCTCAGACTTCCAGCCTCCAAAATTGCGAGCAAATAAATTTATGTTGTTTAAGCCATCTAGACTGTGGAACTTTGTTAATAGCATCATTAACAAAATAAATATAGCCGACTCTTGACACTGAGGGGTTAGGGACACTCCCTCCTCCTGCAGTCAAAAATCTGTGTTTAAAATTTGACTCCACACTCAGCTCTTCAAATACCCGGATTCAACCAACTGCAGATTGAAACAGCACTTGGGAATTGGCAGTTGGGAATGTGGCAATACTGTTTTCCAGCCGTGATCGGTTGGATCTGCAGATGTGACACCCGTGGATACAAAAGATCAGCTGATTTCCTGAAAAGAACCTGTGTTGACGTGGACATGTGGTTCAAACCCAAGCTGCTCGAGGGTCAACTACACATACAAAGCATCAGAGGGTTTAAGCTGGGCCAACGGATAGAGCTGTGTTCCAGTCAGACTTTTCACTGTAATCCTATGTAGGTTATATATTTAGAAACATTGTTCTGAGAAGGGCTGCAAAGCTTCACCAAACTGCAAACAAGGTCCCATAAATAAGGCCCCCCAAAATATTAAGAACTAATTTACCTCCACTGGTGGTCATAAAATAAACCCGTGTGGTCTCGGAGTGACAGGCCTCTCCCATTGTTTTCAACCATAAGTGTCACTATTTCATAGTACATTCTGCTCTATACTCTTTAACTATATTAAAACTTCTACATCAATACAGATATAGGTGAGAAAGAACATTATATAGTATTGTCTGAAATTTTTAATTCTAGCAGACACTTATACTTTGAGTGTGAGATATACTATATAACATAATATAACCACATATATACACCAGATGTACACATAATAAGATTACAAATTACAGTGAACAGCATAATGATAAGTTCAACAGGGCAACCAGAAGGATCGATGTTTGAAAGCTGGACTGTAAGAAACCTTTCAGGAAGCAGAACCGCTGAGGAAACAGCTCACATGTTTGCTGTCAGGGCTCAGGGAAGGAGGCTAACCAGCTGATGCTAACGAGTGGAGTAAGTCAACCAACACATTTCTGCTTTAGGCAGTGGTTTGTAACTAGGTCTAAAGAACCTAAATATCCTATCTGGGAGAAATCACCATCATCATAACAACCACCACCAAACTGAGATATCTCACAGCTCCATCAATACCCAGTCCTACTGCCCAATACATTGGTGCTTTATAAATACAGAATTGGGAAGAACTCATCAATGCAGGCGGTTGGGGGTGGGAGAGGAAGGCAAACTTTTAGGGGATATATAAGTAAAATAGCCGTGTGAAAATAAACCTTTGGGATAGCTTTCCTTTGTGTAGTACTTGTACAGGATTGTATTTATAATCCTAAATGAGGCCAAGCTTTATGAATCAAGTTCATTATTGCTTCTAACATAGAATGAATGCGAGCACTCTAGCAACCAGGAATACGGTCACTGTGCACATTCTATCCGTGGGGTATTTAACACGCTGGCATTAGAATTAGGACTAAAGGAGCAATGTAACACCAGAGGAAAATACTTATTATGTTATGTTAAAAACCTACCAAGACTCAAAACTGCAGAGAGAGTATGATTCTAAATTATGGGCGTGGGGGAGAAATCTCCGTTAAAGAGTTTGGTAAAACACACTTTCCTTCTTTCCCTCTTATCCTCGGTGCATTGTCTCCATTTTCCACCATCATTTCATTCGCTCAGCGAAGTTGGTTAGTCAGGCACTGCTCCGGGACAGAGCACACAGCATGGGGTAAAAGGGAACTACCTCTCAGTTAGAGAGGGCGTACACTTAGCAAGATAATCCAACTGAATGGCATACAGATGCCTGGTGTTCGGCGGAAAATGAAGCGCAGAAAGAAAAGAAAACGGATGCTGCAGTCACTGTTTGATGGGGGGGTCTGGGGATAAGACACCAGGTGAAAGGACTGGGCCCTGCGGCTCCCGGAACGCGCGGACGAGCCAGCCCAGCAGGCGGCGCTGTAGCCGCGCCGCGCGGAGCGGTCATGTGACCCAGGGGCGGAGCTCGAGCGCCGAGCGGCCCGCGGATTGGGCCCCGCCCCTTCCCTTCGGACCGAGGGGCAGGCGGGCGGGGCCGACAACCAAACCGACGTCCTCCGCGCGCCGGGGGCGGGGCGGGCGGGAGCGGCTGGGCCTCGGCGCGAGCTCGCCGCCGCGTTGGTTCTTCGGTTGCGCGGCTGCCGGGCCTGCGGTCGGGCCGGGAGCGGGAGCAATGGCGACCTTTGTGAGCGAGCTGGAGGCGGCCAAGAAGAACCTGAGCGAGGCGCTGGGCGACAACGTGAAACAGTAAGCGGCGCGGCCTGCGGCCTCCGCTGGGGCTCCGGCCCGACCGCCCAGCCGCCCGGGCCTGGGCAGCCGGCGTCGCGGGCGGCGGGGCCTGTGCGCCGGGCGGGCGGCCGGGCCTCTCGCGCCGCCGGCCGCCTCCCGCCTCCCCGGCACCGGGCACCGGGCACCGGGACTGGCCTGCCCTGCGGTGCGGCCGGCGCGGGCGCCCCGAGGGCTTCCTGGAGGCGGAGGCTCTGGGCTGGGGAGGTCCGGGCCTAGGGACGGCCGTTGGGGGCCCTCCGGGGGAAAACAGCGGTTAGTGGGCTCGTATGGTCAGGCGCTCACGGTGCTGCCTCCGGTAACCTCACCGCAGAGACGGAGCCAGGTGCGGTCATCCCCATGGATAGGGGAGAAGATGGCGATCCAGAGAGCTCAGTGACTTCAACCAGAGAGAGAGGCACAGAGGATTGGCACCCTCCCTCCCCTTCCTGGCCTGACACCTGACGGGTTGGATGCAAAGGGCCCCGTGCCCAGCCGCACCTCCCCAGGTCACAGCCGGGACCCAGGACATTGTTGGGTCAGCGGGTGTCATAACCGTCATTCAGTCCAGGCGAACAGCGTGCTAGGAGCCGCCTCTGAGATGCTGGGTCTAGTCCAATGGCGGGTCCTGTGCAGACAGGTGCTGAATGTTTGGGGTGACTTGGTCACGGGTTGTTGCTTCTCTCCAGGTGTCTCCAGTGCTTCCCAGTCTGACCCACTCACAGCCTCGCCTTCTGAGGCCGGCTGGCTTGGTTTTGGAGTTGAGGAAAACAGCCGTTGGGCTGTGGGCATACCGTCAGCATAGGGACCAAGACAGGGTCAGCCTTCCATAGCCAGGGCTGCTGTGTGGGCACAGAGTTTGCCCGCAGGTGGACATCACCGCTTCCCTGCAGAGCCTCGTCTCAGCTCCGAACCCGTTCCCACGCTCCAGATGCTTCTGTTTGCATCTTTCGTGTAAACTAGTGATGCAGGTTTCTTGTGTTACTGACCTCTTGTTGGATAGAAGAGGACGGGAAAGAGCTCTATTTCACTTCCTAATTGTTCCTGTCCTTAAACAAGGAAGGCCTCTGAGCGTCCACTGTTGGGAAGTTGTCAGTACTGAGCGTGTGAAACGTGGTGGCAAACTCTGGAACTAAACGTTTGGCTGTTGAGTGAAAAAGTCTTAGGTGACTAAGATTCCATTAAGGCTACATGTTTTCTCGGGGGAAAAAAATTTTTCACTCGAACCCAGAGCTTTGGCTGCAGTTTCATTCATCCATAGCCAGTTCCATGCAGAGATCATGGCCAGTTCCATGCAGAGATCATGGCCACACACATGAGAGATCATGGCCATGTACATACAGAGACCATGGCCACATGCATACAGAGACCATGGTCAGGTCTATGCAGAGACCATGGTCAGGTCTATGCAGAGATCATGGCTAGGTCCGTGCACAGATCATGACGAGGTATGTGCAGAGATCAAGCTGAGGCGCCCAGAAGCTAATCGGTGAACAGGAGAGGCCCTGCGTGGGGCCTACTGAGGCGGTGAGGGCGTTAAACCATCTGGCAGAGAAATCTCTGCTTTTTTTCTCTTCCTGTTAGAAACTCAGATGAGCATTAGAAAGTAAACGAGTGTGAACTGAAAGTGACCATGAGATAGGCACTAACTTATTAACCTTGTTTGATGAACAGGGAGCAGTTTAAGCACTGAAACGAGGTGTGGATGTAAAGACTCACATATTTTACTCGCTTCAAGCGGTGTTATGTTAGAAAAGGTTAGATCTTCTCTTTTCTACAGTCAACTAGTTATTCTTATGATGGACGGTTTTCACTTTAAAAACCACTAAGTTTCTGACATCTATGGGTGTCTTCTTGGCGGTGAGCCGTGTTAGAAACAGCCAGTTAGATGGAAACTGGGCTGCATTTGAAAGGAAGAGGTCAGCTGGAAACAGTATTAATGACCGCTCCCCAGCCCGTAAAGCACACACATTTTAATTTATTTTATTTTTTAAACATTTTATTGATTTTGTACAGAGAGGAAGGGAGAGAGATAGAGAGTTAGAAACATCAATGAGAGAGAGTCATCGATCAATTGCCTCTTGCACACCCCCTACTGGGGATATGCCCGCAACCAAGGTACATGCCCTTGACGGGAATCGAACCCGGGTCCCTTCAGTCCCCAAGCTGATGCTCTATCCATTGAGCTAAACTGGTTTCGGCAGCACACACATTTTAATATATAAATCTATTTTGAAATTGAATTATAGTTTCGGATGTACAGCAGAATGATTTCGTATTTGTAAATATTGCAAAGTGTTCACCCCAGTAAGTCTACTTTACCATCATTACCATAAATGTGTTGCCCTGGCTGGTGTACTAAGTGGTTAGAGCGGCAGCTCACACATCAAAGGGTCACGGGTTCGAGTCCCAGTCAAGGCTACATACCTGGGTTGCAGGTTTGATCCCCAGTCCCCATGGTTATGTGAGTGTGTGGAAGGCAACCAGTTGATGTGTCTCTTTCACATCAATGCTTTTTTTCTCTCTCTCCTCCTCATCCTCCTCTCTCCTTCCACTCTCTCCAAAAATCAATGGGAAAATTTTCTTCAGGTGAAGATTAACACACACAAAAAAGCAACAGCATTTTTTTTTTCTTGTGGTAAGACCTTTTAAGGTCTCTCTTAGCAGCTCTCAGTATGCAGCACAGCATTACTTAGAACCAGTAAAACTTTAACTGCGAATATGAAATGCAGGCTCCTGGAGAGGAGCAGCCTCTTAGAAGGGGACAGTGAGGAGGGAAAGGGACAGCTGTGCTTTTGGCCACTTAGCTCACGAGTCTGATTCTGCGACTACCCGTCAGCCCCTTTCACGGAGGATTTTCCTCCTTTGCCCTCCCGTTGGCATTCTGGTTGCCAGGTGTGCCAGTCAGGGGGGGTGGCCATCACAATGCCACGGCCTGGGGGACCGAAAGGGGCATGTGTTTCCCACCGTCTGGAGGCGGGAAGTCTGACCTCAAGGCTCAGCAGGACCGGTTTCTTCTGAGGCCTCTCCCCCGGGCTTGGTGATGGCCATTGTCCGGTGTCGCTCTCTGACCTGTCTCTTAAGGACACCAGTCACGGGGGTCAGGGCCCACCCTGACACCCGCGGGAACTGAGCACCTCTGAAAGGCCCTGTCTCCAGGTGTCCCACTCTGGGTGGAGATCAGGGCACTCGCCCTCACACTAGGGAGTAAACTGTCCTGGGGTGGGGCAGTTAGGTGGACGGGAAGAAACAGCCTGTGGCTCTTCACACTTCCCGCCCCTGCAGGTACTGGGCCAACCTGAAGCTGTGGTTCAAGCAGAAGATCAGCAAAGAGGAGTTTGACCTAGAAGCTCACAGGCTCCTCACACAGGATAATGGTAAAACAGCCACTTTTTGCAATAAATTAGTCTTTTCACTTAAAAAGTAGTTTGATTTTAGTGGCATATAAGGTCATTTTCATAATGTGGACGTTTAAAATTAAGTGTAAAGAATGGCAGAATGGGGGATATCCAAACCCCTTAAAAGCTGCGCTAAAGTAGCGGCTTCCTTGGTGGTAAATATGGTGTATTGACTCCTGCCCTCCTCCCTTTGCAGTGCATTCTCACAACGAGTTCCTCCTGGCCATCCTCACGCGCTGCCAGATTTTGGTGTCTACCCCAGGTAAGGGAGCCATAACATGCCCAAGACCCTGGCTTCAGCTTCCAGAAACAGGCATGTGTGTCTCCGAGCGACATGTCCTCTGGGCTGAGAGGGGGGTGTGCTGGTGCAGGTTCCTTTATGACCACGAGAAAGCAGCGCTCTCCCTAGACTCAGCACCTTCGGTCACGACTCCCCACCTGCTGGACTTCACACCGGAAGTTGTGAGGAGGGGAAGGGCTGAGTGGCCAGGATGAAGAGGTGAAGGCCAGTGCAGGGAGGGCAGCGGGGTTCGCATAGATGGAGGGAGTGGGGATCACAACCTGTGGGGAACCTGGGCTTCCGCTTGTGAGATACTGGCACCTGGGAAGTAGGTTAGAGTTTCCACGTGTGTGTTTGACCGATTATTGGTGAAAAACAAAGGGTCCTGACCGCAGCCTGTTGGGAGGTTGAACTAAACAGGTGTTGATAGAAACGCCCGCCCCTGTATCCCTAAATGCTTGGAGCTTAAGTGGTACAAGCCACCTCTTTCAACCATCTTATTTTAATCAACTAGTCCAAAACAAATGATTGATTACATGCAAAATTTGCCCCATGATAAAACTTAGCCTGGGCTCTTGTTTAAAAGTGCATTCTTATGTACCTCCTGCTGTCGCCTGTCGTCATGTTGGTTCCTCACCCAGAGCATCTGGCCACAGGGCGCAGCGTCACCTGAGGTCCAGGTTGGCTGACCTTCCCACGTGAGGTCTGGGTGCCGAGATGCCTGGAGCGATGACTTCCCAAACAGTTCTTTCTAACCCAAGGAGCTGGGAGGATTTTTTCCCAAAGCTTTAAAAACTCATCCTTCTCTCCCAGTCAGTGTGGCTCAGTGGTTGAGCATCAGCCCATGAACCAAGAGGGTTGCAGGCCCCATCCCCAGTATGGGGCATGCAGGAGGCAGCCAATGGATGTATCTCTCTCATCAATGTTTTTATCACTTATCCCTCTCCTTTCCTCTCTCTCTAAATTCAACAAAAACATATTTTTAAAAATAAAAATGTAAAAAATAAAAATAAAAGATAAGAAAAAATGTAAAAACGGAAAACTAAAAACTCATCCTTCCAAATACATCAAGATGGAAATAATGTTTTGCTAGGATGATGGGTGGTTTTATTTTTCTCTTACAAAATTTGGAGGATATTTTTTCAAGTGAGTTACAGTGAGCTTGTATTACTTTGACTGTTTTTCATTAACACTAAACAATATGTCGATGGCTAAAGAGGATATGCAGAAGGTCTTACTATGAGAAGCTTCTTCCCACCCTCACCCTGTTCTCAGAGATAGCTACGCCTGTTTTCTGTCCTGGGCCCTCAGTAGCTCCTCATACAGATCCTTCTCTCTCTCTCTAGATACACTGATCTTAGACGTGTTTCCTCATCTTACTACCCTGTGTTTTGTGAGATTTCCTCAACTCCTTTCAGCCTTTCTGTCTCATGCATCCCTTAATTCAGCATTTCCATAGAACCTTCTTTTGTTTTATGGATATGTGACTGCTCAGACTTCTCTGAGGACACCAGCTAGGAGTGACTTGAGTTTTCTGTGTAGCCTGGAACCTTTACCTCTCGAACCTCTATTTTTTGTTTGCTTAACGTGGTCTTTCTTTTTTTTCTTTTTTTTTTTAATATATTTTATTGATTTTTTACAGAGAGGAAGAGAGAGGGATAGAGAGTTAGAAACATTGATGAGAGAAACATCGATCAGCTGCCTCCTGCATACCCCCTACTGGGAATGTGCCTGCAACCAAGGTGCATGCCCTTGACCTGAATGGAACCTGGGACCTTTCAGTCTGCAGACCAACGCTCTATCCACTGAGCCAAACTGGTTTTATCATTAACTTGGTTTTTCTTAAGGTGCTCCGGGTAGATGATTGTCAGATGCCGGGGGCTTCATAGTTAAGAATGGGCTTCTTCCTGGGTTGCCAGCATGCAGCCCCGCTGCCTTAGTAAACCCCGGAGATGCTGACCCTGTGACCTGCGCCCTCGTGCTCCCCCGTGTCAGGTACCGCGTGGATGCGGTGAGCAGGGCTGGCCTCTGGCAGTGGGCTAGGCAGCTGTCTGAACAGGGCACCCTGCGTTCTGCTCTTACTGAGCCCGGCTGGGCTGGGAAGGGGTTGTGTGGATGACCTTTGCCTGTAGACCTTCCACAGATGGCATTACGGGTCCCTCTTGGTGCCCGCTGCACTCACCTCCGAATCCAGTTCCTTCCGGGTTTCTCCTTGGCAGGTTGACTCCCACCTCATTGCCCTGCCTGTGAGGAGGACCATGGAGTTGGTTTGCTAGCTGGTCATGGCCAACTCGTATCTGTTCTGTCAGCCCGCACCTTCCAGCCCACTGGAAATCTGTCGAGATCTCATCTTGTCCCCTGCTCATTGTCCTCTTTGTCTGCTGTGTGGGCGGGCCCTTACTTCCCTCTGTTACCATTCTTAGCAGGTCCTGAAGGAAAGCAGGTTAGCACACATGCTCAGTCCCCATCCTGAGCTAGAAAACCCTGTTCTGCTTCTGTGATATGCTGCAGGGACAGCAGCTGACGGTCCTCCCTCTGTGACACGGCTGCAGGGACAGCAGCTGACGGTCCTCCCTCTGTGACACGGCTGCAGGGAGAGCAGCTGATGGTCCTCCTTCTGTGATCCTCCCTCTGTGACACGGCTGCAGGGAGAGCAGCTGATGGTCCTCCCTCTGTGATCCTCCCTCTGTGACACGGCTGCAGGAACAGCAGCTGACAGTCCTCCCTCTGTGATACAGCTGCAGGGACAGCACCTGACAGTCCTCCTTCTGTGATCCTCCTTCTGTGACATGCTACAGGGATAGCAGCTGATGGTCCTCCCTTTGTGATCCTCCCTCTGTGACACGGCTGCAGGGACAGCAGCTGACAGTCCTCCCTCTGTGATCCTCCTTCTGTGACATGGCCGCAGGGACAGCAGCTGACCGTCCTCCCTCTGTGATCTTCCCTCTGTGACACGCTGCAGGGAGAGCAGCTGACAGTCCTCCCTCTGTGATCCTCCCTCTGTGACACGCTGCAGGGAGAGCAGCTGATGGTCCTCCCTCTGTGATCCTCCCTCTGTGACACGGCTGCGGGAACAGCAGCTGATGGTCCTCCCTGTGACGCGGTTGCAGGGACGATGGCTATGGTGTGGAAAACCAAGCTGTCGTCCTGAGAGTAATTTTGGTTACAGCTAGAAAAGGAAGTGGAGGGAGAAACAGAAAAAGATGTGAATTTATTTTTTTATTTACTTATATTATTTGAGCATTCATACTTTTTTTAGCCCCAAATGAAAACACTTCGCAGGTCCCGACTGGTTGCTTCCTCTCACGTCCTTGTTTCCTGTCTCCTAGAGGGTGCCGGCTCCTTGCCCTGGACAGGGGGCTCCGCAGCCAAGCCCGGGAAGCCGAAGGGGCGGAAGAAGATGTCTTCTGTGCGCCAGAAGTTTGATGTAGGTTGTTCGTCAGTAGGTCTGGGTCATCGCTGGTTTAAGTTTTAAATGAATGTGAAGTCACTGGTAATAGAGTTGGAAAAATGGGGGCGTCCTGGGGAGGGGGGGGAAGGTGTCACTGTTTGTGAAGTTGGTACCTGGATTTTTCTAATCCTGGTTTGTTATTGCATAACCATTATCGTTCTCAATAGCATCGGTGATTTTTCAGTGTTTTGGAAGCTGTGCCTGTTCCTTCTCTGCAGTGTTTCTCCGAGGGACTTGTGTCCCACGGCGCAGGGGGCCTACAGGCCGCAGGGCAGGGGCCTGGCTTGCCCAGCAGCCCGAGCTGTGGGTCAGCAGAGGCGGCTCAGGGGCACTTGGCTGTAGAATTGGTACAGTTTTAGAATAACTGGCTTTTCCTGAGGGAACAGTTTCCTAAAAGTCTCCCTGCTCTCAGTGCTGACTGGGAGGCGATAGCTCCGGGTTAGCACCACAAGCACCGATCCGCCTCTGCTGTTTGAGGTCCGCAGCATTCAGCCTCGGGCATCGGACCAGGGAGGCCTCCTTGTTCACGCACATGCTTGATGTACAGTGCAGTGTTTCCCCTGGAAAATGGGAAAAAGCAGGTGTCGCTTTTCTAATACAAACGTCAAAAGTATTAGCTACAAAGTATTGCATGTTGGGCTTAAACACAAGCTGCCAGGGGGCCGTCTCTGGTGATGACGGAGAATATAAAGGGCTCTCAGCATCTCCCAGAGGACGGCTGAGGTTTTATGAGCAGAAGAAAGACTAAGAAAAACGAATTTAAGTAATGAGTGTGGCGGCGTCTTGTTGGGAATTGCAAGGAGAAGGCAGTAGGAATAAGTAGTTACAGGAAGGACACTGCACAGCACTGTCTCGGAGCGCTGGCTGTCAGCCTGTCCTGAGAGGTAGTCAGACTTCCCAGGCTTACTGAAGGAGTGACTATGCCTGACACTTTCAGCACCTGCCTGCTTCATGTACACTCAAAGCGCTCTCACTGTTTTGAATATAGTTTTAAACCTTCTTTTTGATGGTTACTCCAGCCCAGAGCCGTGTGCTCTGTGGTTATAGAGATGCTAATCATTACAAGCCACGCCTCCGTTCTTTCCAGGAAACACGCGTGAGCCTATTTGTGCATGACGCGTGCTTTTTGGTTTTCACCTGGTGGCGTGGTCCTGGCCGCATGGCTCTGTGGGCCGGGCAGTCCAGGACGCTGGTTACTCTTGTTCGCGTCTCCTTCCTCGCCACTGTAATGAATAACTTTGAAAGGTTTTCTTACTCAGCACAGATTCCAGCCTCAGAACCCCCTCTCGGGAGCCCAGCAGTTTGTGGCAAAGGATCCCCAAGATGACGATGACTTGAAACTGTGTTCGCACACAATGATGCTGCCCACACGGGGCCAGCTGGAGGGGCGGATGATCGTGACAGCGTACGAGCACGGCCTGGACAACGTCACGGAGGAGGCCGTGTCCGCGGTGGTCTACGCCGTGGAGGTGGGTGTGCTGGGGCAGAAACGGGCTGCGTGTGGGGAGCTTGTGTGAGCTGTTGGAAGTCGCTGCTGCGAGAAAAGAGCCCACACGTCACTGATCTCAGAATTGTCAGCGTTCACGTGGTTTTCTTCTGAGGGAGAAACGCAGCGCACTCCGGGCCAGTGCCTTCGCTTTACAGCAAGCTTCCCAGAGGACTGGTGTCCGAGCCCATGTGTCCTCTGTCACAGGAAGCGGTTTCTAAGGGCAAATGAGGTCGTCGCTTGCCTGGCCTCAGGAGAGCTCGACTCGGCCTCTGCGCAGTGGTCCCTGTCGCAGACGCTCTGATATGCACTCAGTTTTTCACGTCGTTACCGGAGAGCGTCCCCGGGCCTGGCGTGCACAGGGGCTCCAGGGACGCTGGTCACCTGGCACTTCCCTGGGTCTCCCTTCCTCACCCAACCTCAGAGATTTAAGTTACAAACATGACAGTGAGCTCGGGGTGCGGAAATTGTAAACTGCACCGTGAGCTCCTGATGGAGAGGCTCTCACTGGTATCGCTGAAATGCCATCCCTGGTCCCGATAAGGCAGGCTGGGGCAAGGCTGTCCCTTCGCCAGCCTCTTACGTACGTGGCTTTCATAAGGTGAAGGGATGGAACCCCGAATTTCCTGTTTCCCTGTGTTTACATCGCTCTGAGAAAGCCCCAGTTCTCTTCAGGGGAGGGGCTCAGAGGATTGGGCACTGTAACCCAGAAATCCCAGAGCCTGAAACTTTAAAGTTTCAAGGTGTGTTGCCTCTTTTTAAAGAAAATTACTTATTTTTGTGCTTTTATTTAAAGCTATCTGAAAATCATTAAAAAAAAATTTTTTTTTATTGATTTCAGGGAGGAGAGGAAAGGGGGAGAGAGAGAAATTTCAGTAATGAGAGAGAATCATTGATCGGTTGCCTTTGCACACCCCCTACTGGGGATTGAGCAACTTGGGCACGTGCCCTGACCAGGAATTGTACCATGACCTCTCCTTGTTTATAGGTCGAAGCTCAACCACTGAGCCATACCAGTCGGGCTGAAAATCATTTTTGAGAGGAGCAAATTTAGAGATAGGAAACCTTTTATATTCTATATAGAACAAGCCCACTTCCTCTCTCCCGGCCCCTCCAGTCTGGCTCCTCGGTGAACCTCGCATGGTCCAGCACGGGCACGCACCCCTTCCATCGCTGCGTCCCGTGAGCGTGAGCAGCTCAGGGAAGCCTGAGGATTTGCTCTTAAACAGGACTTCATGCTGTTTTTCTTCTGGTTTTTACAGAATCACCTTAAGGACATACTGGCATCGGTTGTGTCCAGAAGGAAAGCATATCGAGTGCGAGATGGTCACTTTAAGTACGCCTTTGGCAGTAACGTGACCCCCCAGCCATACCTGAGGAACAGCATCATGGTGTACAACAGCCTGATAGAAAGGTGTGTTCCTGGCCTGAGAGCAGAACAGTTTTACTTTTTTGTGTTGTTCATCCGCCCCTTCCCACAAATCTGTCTGGATTGAAAGCCTTTGGGAAGGAAGGACACCATTTCCTTATGGGAACGGAAGTGACTGCATTCTGCAAGTGCTGGGCGTGGTGTGTCTGGTCCTGTGGACTGAGAGGTTTGGGAGAAGCTGATTGGGGAGGCGGAGCGCTAGAGGTGGGCAGATGGGGAGGGAGGGAGAAGTGGAAGGAGAGACAGTGTTGGAGCCACAGGGAGGGGCTGCCTCCGAGGACCTGGGCTGCAGCTTCTCAGCTCAGCTCACGACCCGGGAGGTAGCGATCAGTTCTCGGTCTCCTGCAGGCCTGTGTTTGAGATTTCTGGTTCTCATTTAAGTCATTCTAGAGAAAACAAACCGAAAAAGGGGCTCCTGCAGAGGTGAGTTCTGGAGACAGCATCCCTGACTTGCCAAGCGCCTGAGCCGCCCGCCCGCCTGCCTCTCCCCTACGCAGTCACCCGGGCTCCTCAAACGCGGTGGGCGTGTTTCCGGAACAGGCTGCCTCTGTCTGGGCCACGCTGTCCTCCGCTCGCCTCCTGAGTGTGGCTTCAGCCAGCGTGTTCTGTCGCACGGGGGCTGCTGTGTTCTGGTGCTGGCTCTCTGCCCAACTTCCCACCATGGCGCCTGGGCCCTGGGAATGGCCACATGGGTTGGTTTCCCCAGGGGCTTGCCTTTGGCCTTGGCCGCCCTTGTGCTGGCCATGTCTTCTGGCGGTTCTTCAGGATCCTGTTGGTTCCAGCATATCCACCTTCCTTTCCAAGTCAGCGTTTTGTTTCCTTTTCCTTGAATTAAGGTCTATTATGTTTTTTCAACTAGAAGCTCTTTAAGGGCAGGGAACAATCTTGGCCTTGTATCTGGAGTGTAGTGAATATTTTAATATTGTGGAGGGAGGGGGTTGCTCTACATTTTGTTTTCTGCATGCCAGATGGGCTGCCTTAAAAAATGGCAATTCTGCCCTTTGTATATGCACTCACTAAAAAATAGCTGGGTTCCTACTTCCCTTTTAGGTCTTTTTATAGGTGCCTTCCTGCGCCTGTTCCTAGTCTCGCCGTTAGGTGTCCCTTGGAGTTGCTGCGTGTTTCTAACGCCCTCTTGTTTTCAGCCCGCCAGCCCTTCCTGCCTCCTGTGTCGGCCAGAACTCAGCGGCCCAGCCGCACCCCGATGACGCGGAGCAGCAGGCCGCGCTCCTGCTGGCGTGCTCCGGGGACACCCTCCCCGCGCCCCTGCCTCCCGTGAACATGCACGACCTTTTGGAAGCTTTGCAGGTAACTGCTCCGGAGGTTTCCTGGGGTGATGGGTGGCATGCGGGAGCTTGCCCACTTCCGGCCTTTCGTTTCTCAGTTTGGGCTGTTTACTGTTTAAGCCATTCATCCCCCCTCACTTTCAAGTCCTGGGCCCCAGTCCGTCCTGATTTCTCCCCCATCTCCACACCTCCCCAATGAGAAAGAAAAGGAAAAAAAACACCCTTGTTCCCTATTTCTATTTCAGAACCTTGTTATTTCCTGCTTTTTTGTTAGTTGGCTTGGGATTCGTAAGGTTCTGGCTGGAAGTTTATACGTTGTGTGTCTTTTGTGTGAGTGTTTTGTGGATCTAAACCTTTTCCGTGTTAGAAAAGTCCGTGTCCTGAGTGTAACTGAGACCCGTCCTGTTCGATGCAGGTGCACAGGGAAGTCATTCCCACGCACACGGTGTACGCGCTCAACGTGGAGAGGGTCATCACGAAGCTCTGGCACCCCACCCACGAGGAGCTGCGGCAGGACCAGGTGCACAGGCAGCGCCTGGCCGCCAAGGAGGGGCTGCTGCTCTACTGAGGCCTCTGCTCTCCGGTCACGCCGCAGACACTGCTCACTGAGCATGGAGGCCTCGGGTCCACACTTCAGCCTGGAGTGGACAGTGTAAATATAGCCTTTCCTATGGAAATGGGACATTGAGTACATTCTGTGTTGCTACTGTGAAGCCGTTAGTAGAACTCTGACTTCGTGAGGGACCCATATCTGTGTGTGGACGTGTCCCCGTAGGGTGGGCGCTGGGGAAGTGGCCTGCAGGTGCCGGGCCCTCTGGTCTGCGAGTCAGGGAGGTGTCCTCCTAGGACAAGGACGCTCGCTGTTAGAACGTTGCCCCTGTGACCTGCAGGACACCTGTGTGCTCAGCGGCATCCTCTGCTCAGTGTCCGGCAGCCCAAGTTTCCGCCGGACTCGGAGAGAATCGTGCTCTTGGAATTTGGTTGAAATAACCTGCAGTGTTAAGAATCAGATACCTCCCTTAGTGACCGGTTTAATTTTCAACAGATATTCTTTAGGCAGCTCCCTACAAATCATTACCCCTCCATGGACAATATGGCTCAGACAGGCCATGCTATCGGACAGAAACACCACAACAGACCTTAGAAGGAATTGGTGAACCTCATGGAATGTCTCCTGTAACTCACATTCCCTCCATTTATTTCATATTCCCGGACGCTGACTGGCAGGTTCATCTATTCATCATTCCCCAAGTTTATGTGAATTCCCCAATTCCTGTTTCTATCCTTTCACATGATAAAGTGAAAATAATTTTCATTTGGCAGTGTTACAACCAGGGTTGTTTTTTAGAGACATATTGCCTTTTACTCGAGATAGGCTTGGTGGAGATGCATTTGACTCCTGAACAGTGTGGGTGTTAGGGACACAAACCCCCAGCGCAGTCAGACACTCACACCTTGTGACTTCCCAAAACTTAAGCTTAGCTGCCCCTCGGTGTCCGAGGGGGATTGGTTCCTGGACTCCCCACTGATGCCAAAACCCTCAGATGCTCAGGTCCCTGTTACATGGCGTGGAACGACGTCTGTAGACTCCCAACCTCGACCTTACATCGTGCAGGTGTTCACGGGGGAAATTCATGTATCCGCGGCCCCGCAGTTTACACCTGTGCTGTTCGGGGTCGGCTGCATTAGGACGGGTTCTGTGGTTTAGTAACGTGTAAATATGTACATATGGGAAGCTGGCTGTGTGTTTGATTTTATACTTTAAATGTGACAAATAAAACTTTTGGGAGAAAACAGTTTGTTTATTAAATAGATAAGGGACCCTGCCTCCTGCAGAAACACGAAAAGCCCTGTGGTGAGACCTTAGCAAAACATGTCAGAGAATGTTCTAGAGGGAAAGATTAAGGCATGCCATCTCTTCCTTCTGTGGTCTATAGATTAAACAAGACTGAAAGGAAACAGCTGAGTTTCAGTCGCTGGCCCAAGTCAGAAAAGCCCTTTGGACTTAGAGATGAGCGAATACTGGAGTCACGGGGTGTAGAGGAACTTGAACCAGTGTCTGACAAAATGTTCTGGACTCCACACACCTGGGCCTCAGCGCTACGTTGTGGGTTTCCCGGGTGCAGAGGCCACCAGGCCCGTCGAGAGGCTGGATTCATCTCTGCTCTTGGACCCGCCTAAGTCCTTACAGTCGCCGGCTCCTTGGACCAGTGGACTTCCTGTGTGGACTCCCTGTTTGGGGCCGGAAGGGAGGAGGAACGGTGCTGAGAGCCCCAGAGAAGTGTGAACAGGTGGAGCACTGAGGCTCCCGCGCCACTGCAGGCTGCCCCAGGATCCAAGTGCTTCCTGCTAACCATCCCCTTGAGAATTGCCTCGGGGGAAATGCTTCACACTTAGAACAAAACTTTTCCTGCAGGAACCTCCACAGTCGTGTTAGCTGCAGGTTCCCTCAGGCCCACCCTGCTGTCCCGGCTTGAAGAGCTCAGCACGTGCCCATCACCCTGAGCACCCACCACTGACGGGCCAAGCACGGCTCTCCTCACGGCACCCATCACCTTGGCGACCGCTTACTGAGTGGTCGCTCCTGACTCGAGCGATGGCATGGACCCCTCACCGAGGTGCCTCTGGGACATAAAATCAGGACAAGGACGCCTGGTTTTAGGGTCGTGCCTGCTGTGGCCAACAGATTGATTCAGAACTTAACTCTGATAGCTTAAAGGGAAATGTGGTCCAGATTATTCTTGGAAAGTAGACAACTTACTCATTGAATCCATGGGCAGGACTGATTTTACTAAACATGCACCAGGGAAGAGCACATGGAGGGCTTGCCATGCTTTCCTGTTTAAAAGGAGCACTGTTTCTGTTGGTCAGTGTGCTGGCACATTTTCACTCATTAATACCCACACTCCTAACGACTTCCTGACTCTGGTAATGTACCACTCCTCACAGTGCCAAGACAGAACTGAGTGAGGGGAAAGCTATTTATGCCACCCCCCACCCGTTTAAAACCACACACATTGTGCTCTCCTCTGTAAAGACACCGTTACTGATATGCCATCCCACGAACACCCTTTGGATCCAAGAGGGTAACATTTGCTGGTGTGATAGGTGAGAAAGGACGAGTCCCCGTTAGCCTGGTGGCTTTTCACAACACCAGCAGGTCAGTGAGGCGCAAACAAACCACCACAGCCTGTGGTCTTTACTATCAAAGTTTATTGTGGGCCATTTCCTACCTACTGAGGAGTAAGTACATCTATGTCTCAACATGTGCTGTCGTCCCTCGGGGCCACGGCCGCCCTGCAGCGCGGCTGTCCGGGGCTCCGTGAGGCAGAGGCTGTCCGTGGAAGCACAAGCCCAGACACCCCGACAGCAGAGCCGTCACTCCAGGAGCATCCCAGAGCAGCAGCCGGAAGGCACCGCCATCGGGACAGAGACGGCGGGATTGGCGGAATGAATCAGGAGTTGGACCCATTTCCCACGCATCTCTGCCAGAGAACTCTGGCTCCGATGCAGGATCCCGAAATCAGGTCTTATAAGCATGCCCCACGCAAGTGAAACAGCAGCGAGGGAAGTGCCGGGAACCAGGAAGGTGGAGGATAAATTAAGTGGAATTGCAGGGGATGGAAAGTTCTGGAATGCAAAGTAGCTGGGATGCAAAAAGGTGCCATTTGAGATGACGGAGAATTCAGCACAGTTTGCCAGTGGGGCAATTCAAATATTGGAAGTTATGCCGATACCAGAAATTAAGTGAAATTTCCCCTTTGGGAGGAAAACTGATTTTAAAAAAAGGGGAAAGGTGTTTCGTCAACAGGAAGATGAGTACCTGAGTAGAAGTAAGTGGCTCACGAGGCCAAGAACAGTGTCGAGTAGGAATGAGGGTGGACAGGAAGGAGACGCGGAGCCTGTCGCAGGCCTGACACGGAATGACATTTCTGCGAGGTGCTGGCCCATTTCCTGTTTCCGTAACACTCAGCTTAGGTGAGAATGCAAACTCTCATGTAAAAACCCAGTGACCTCCCATCTCCTGCAGGGGGAAGGCTTCGTCTCAAACAGCTGTGGCTGAAGGCCCACACCGCCCTCTCACCACCCTCGTGAAAAAATACAAAAATGAACAAAACCAGCACAAGGAGTCCATGAGCCCTGGTCCCTGAGCACAGCAGGGAGCTCCTGCTGGCGTGCAGGCAGCCTGAGGAGCAGGGGCCTGTGGACCGAACGCTGCCCTACATTACACAGAACCATAATGAAACCCAAAAAGCTAGCTGCCGACCTGGCTGGGAAGATTAATAAAACAGCCTCGTTTGTTTTAACCGGGATCTTTCCCCAATAACCGAGTTTGTCTGTAGAAAAGCCACGGCTGGCACCAGGCCAGTGTGTCTGAGTGTGGTTGTCATTAGGATCTCCTTTTCCTAAAAGGAAATGCGTTAAGTACAAAAACGACATGTCTCTACACGGCCTTCTCCGCAGTCCCGGCCTGCTGGCGGCAGGCCCTGCGGGGAGCGTTTTTAGAGGCAGAGAAACAATGGTGAGGCTCTTCTCCCCAGAAAGGATACTCCTTGGTGGAGTGGCTGGCGGGAGCCCGTGGCCACTGAATGATGGTCTCCTCCAGGAAGTGCCTTTTCATCTTCCCCCAGGTTTCCTCTGGCGGACACCGGAGTCACCGCTGTTACAAACGGGAGAGCAGTTTCCTTCCTGATCGTGTCTCTGATGAAACGAAGGATCCTAGACTTCCGTGACCCCGAGGGGGCGGGCTGTGTCCGGGCGGGTGCCGGCGGCCGGGCCGCTGTGCCTGTGGCCACACTCCCAGCGCCCTCCTCCTGGTTTCTCCCCAGCGCTTCCAGCACAGTCCCGTCTGCTGGAAAAGAGAGAACCTAAGTGTGAATTAACCCGGGGACTTTGGATGGTGTGTAACTGTTAACAAGCATCATTTTCCATTCGTCAGATTGCTAATAGACGGGGGGCCGTGGAACGCCCACGTCTCCTGCCTCCCCGTCTGTGAGCGGCCGGTGGCCACGCATCAGCATCCACGTTTCTCGGGCACAAGCATCGCTCTGTTCCCTCCCCTCTTCTGGCAACTCAGACCCAATCCCCTGGGTGGCAATGAGCTTAGAACATAAAAAATGTTACCTAACAAGGCGAGGAAACAAGGTAAAGTGAGGAAGGGACGAACACTCACTAAGTCAGCGCAGTAAGCAATGGCAGGGAGTGGTTAGCGGAAAGGGAGGCTGCACCGGGGAGGGGGGGACAGGGGAACAGACAGCTTTGGAGATTTCGAATGTCGTGGTAGGAACTGGGCTGCACTGGAATTCCAGGGAGCCACGCTGGCAGCGGGCCCCACAGCAGAGCAGCCCGGGACTTAGGGACAGGGAGGCGACGGGTCTCCAGGCAGCTCGCAGGGCAGAGCCTTCCGTCAGCACTTCGGGTGGAGCAGGAAGCAGGCAGCCTGGAAACACCTCGTCACACTTTAGAAGGAAGGTCAGTCAGGACCGCGCTCGGTCCCGTCCAGTACAGCCGCTGCATATTCAGTGCGCACTGTGTTTGGAGGGACAAGTACCAGAAACAAGAACGAGAGGGTAAAAACGAACCCTGTTCTTCTGTGTCCCTACTGTCCGCGGCTTCTCCCCAGGTGGGGAACTGGGGTTCTCTGCTAGACTCACTTCCATCTGAGCCTTTCTCCTAGACCTGTGGTCGGCAAACGGCGGCTCTCGAACCACATGCGGCTCTTTGGCCCCTTGAGTGTGGCTCTTCCACAAAATACCACAGCCTGGGCGAGTCATTTTGAAGAAATGGCATTAGGAGAAGTTTAAGTTTAAAAAATTTGACTCTCAAAAAAATGTCAATCGTGCTGTTGATATTTGGCTCTGTCGACTAATGAGTTTGCCGACCACTGGCCTAGACGCAGCTGTGAGCCGCAGGCCTGTTCCCCACCCTCTGCCCGTTGCCCTAGATATGCATCCTTTATCATTAGATTCGATTGAAAAGTATCTTCCTTCAGACAGCTGAGAACTACAAGACATCAACTGCTCCCCCACGTGAAGGCCGTGATGAAGAGAGACACTGGCACACACTTGGGAGAAGCAAGCACAGGCGATGACTCCCACCTCACATGGGGGTCCCAAGGACCCCCTCACGCCCCCCATTGGGACTGAGCCCTGAGGCCGGGTGGAAGGCACACTCGGTGCTGCCTCACATCCTGGACCTCCTGGCCAGCAAGGAAACAAAAAGTGGGCTTTTCAGACAAAACTTTAGCCAGCGGTCAGCCCGTGCTCCATCAGCCCCGGCAGCCAGCATCACAGAGCTGAGCTGTCCGCAGCGGCCCCCGGCCCCGGCACAGGATTCCATGCCAGTGCTCGGGTCCAGCCACAGGGCCGAGGACACAGGAAGCTCAGCGACAGAAGTTTCACCCGGAAGACCACACCGCACGTGGGCTCTGGGGTCCTGAGAGGGGACAAGCGCGGCGAGACAAGACTGCCCGTGGCCACAAACACGTCAGTGGGCGCGCACCGAGCGCCCCCCGGCGGTTACCTGCGCCGGCGGTCAGTTGCTCTCTGTCCTGCCCTCGGCGGGCAGCTCCCCTCCGCCTGGCAGCTCGCCCTCGATCTCCCACAGCCCGTCGTCCTCGTCCTCCAGGCGGCTGGAGATGTGGCACTTGCGGAAGCCCTGCACGATGGCCTCGCTGGGGATGCTGTTCCAGGCGACCATGACCCACTCCAGGAAGAGGCCGAGCGGCGGCTTCTTGGCGTTGCCGGTGGGGCTCAGCGCCAGGTTCCCCGCCAGGAGCCAGTTGGAGTACTGGGCGCGCACGCTGTCGTTGAGCGGCTTGTAGACCACCACGTCCAGCACCTGCAGCTGCGAGGTCAGGCCGCCCGGGATGATGACCATGTCGGTGTTCATGCTCTCCATGGAGCTCTTCACCGAGTCGGTGGCGTGGCCCCGGAAGCCGTTGAGGATCAGCAGCCCGCGCTGCTTGGGCGCGGCGCCCGTCCGCCGCCGCCACACCACCTCCAGCCAGTCCTGCATCAGGTCCTCGGTCATCCAGCCGTAGCGGTGGCAGCGGATCTCCATGCCGCTGGGGAACTTGCCGGGCGGGATGTACGTGCCCCGCAGGATGATGTAGGGGGGCAGCTTCCGGCCGTCGGCCAGCACGCCCAGCATGGCCGTGATCTTCAGCTTCTCCCGGCCCGGCGTCTTCACCAGGACGGGCTTCTCGCCCTGGTTGTCCACCGTCACCCGGGAGGGCACCTCCAGGCAGATGGGCGTCTCGTCCGCGTTCCCCATCTGCGCCACCTGGTAGTCGTGCGCCCGGCGCAGGGCCAGCACGCTGCGCTGGTAGGCGGCGAGCTTCTCCGTCAGGTCCTCGGGCAGCTGCTGGGGCACCGGCACCTTGTGCCTCAGGGACAGGTCGTACCTTCGCATCATCCTGCGGCACCAGCCCAGGCTGGCCTTGAACCCCTTCTCCGGGATGTTCATCTCCTGGGCGATCTCGAGCGCCTTCAGCTGCATGGCCTCCCTGGTGATGGGGTCGCCCTTGGCCTGCATGTAGCGGACGTACTCGGCCACGCGCTGGTCCACCAGGGCGAAGCGCCCGTTCTTGGGGCCGCGGAAGGCCCGCCGCATGGCGTGGGCGTTCTGCAGCTGCGGCTTCACCTTGCGCCAGTCCCGCACGTTCTTCTCCAGCACGCCGAACTGCTTGGCCGCCTGGCAGTTGTTGGTGCTCTCGGCGAACTCCACCACCATCAGCTTGAAGCCCGCGTCGTAGCTGCGGCGCATGCCCCGGCTGAACTGGAACTTGGCGGCCAGCTCGTCGGCCGAGAGGTCGTAGCCCGGGAAGCCCATGGCCATGTAGAAGGGGTACCCCTCGCCCCACTCGGGCAGCTCGGCGAAGGCCCGCGGCAGGCGGAGGCCGAAGCCGTCCAGGGGCTGCGGCGGGGGCAACGGGGACACGGTGTGCACCGGGCCGGCCCAGTCCGGGGGCTTGACGTCAGCGTCTTCGTTTTCTGGAGACAAACAGGAAGGGCAGAGCGGTGAGCACAGGGAGTCCACGTGTTCCTGACTCTGAGGTGGGAAAGCCAAGCACGGGAGGCAGGTGTCACGGTAGCTGAGCCAGAGAGGTGGAGCCGAGCGGGGCACATGCACCGAGCTGGAGCCTCGTAATCTGGGGGCCGTGTTTGGGCCAAAATGCCTCCCGTTTGGGTGTGAAGTCAAATATAGCCCGTCCTGCCAGACCATGAGGCGCGTGGCCTTCCGTGGCTGAGCCACACCTCGATCCCAGAGGATCTGCGGCAGGAGCTGCACTCAGCAGGCCTGGGCTCCAGGCAGCAGAGAGGCTCTTGCGCGCCAGTTGGAACCGGTTTCGGTGTGTGCGTGTGTGTGTGTGTGTGTGTGTGTGTGTGTGTGTGTACGTGGAGGGCGTCAGAAAATTGAATACGATTCGGGAAAATAGCCCTACCTCACCCAACTAAAATGTCATCATTTGCAAGAAGCATCATAATTTTAAGAGGCATTCTCAGTTTCAGAGACATCAAGTGGCAGGGGGAGACATCTTAGAATCAATGACATACGGCCTTTTAAACTCCTACCTACAGAGAGAAGGCAGCAAAGCGTCCCGGCTGCCGGGAGGTATGCAGCCAGCGCCACCCACTGCCACGCTTCCTGACCAAAGCCATGTGCCTTAGACGTGTGTGCTCCAGCGCGCATGCCCGGCCCTGCCTGTCTCCCAGGTGAAGGGGACAGGAACCAGGCGCTAACTCTGGGCCATGCCTGTCCCCTGTCCTCCCTCGTCACCGGAGGTGGCTGCTTGCACTGGGGTCTGCGCACACACAGTGCCATTCGAGCTTCAGTTTGCCTCACCACCCACGGGGCACTGAGCCTCCGACCACACAGACCGCACAGACAGGGGAGCACAGAGCTGCCTAAGGCCACACCGCACCGGAAGGGAGATGTTCAAACTCCAAGCCCGTCCTCTCTGCCTGGCAGCCCCGCCTCCCTCTCACGCAGCCCACAGAGCAAACACAGGAACTTAAAACCCCGCTTCCCGAGCTCCCACGGGATGGTGCGTGCAGGCAGGCGGCTGGATCGCAGTACCTGCAAAGCTCCCTCCTGGGAGTGGCCATGGGTCCGGGTTCTGAGAGTCTTCCTCACCGTCCAGCCGAGAGATCATGTCTGGCTTCGGGAACGGGAACTCTGTGCAGGGGGAGTAACCGAGGTTCGGAGCACCGTCCAATCAGTCCTTTACCCTCACCCGTCCCCGCCTCCATCGGAGATTTATGGAAAACAGGGAAAAGGGCTCAGGACGTGGAAAGAAAAGAGGATGAGCAACGGGCCTGCCTACGGGAATTCCTGGCTCTGCCGATGAGGCCTGGCCCCGGCAGACCCGGCACCCTCCAGTGGTGCCGGCTGGTCCCCTGACTGTCAGTGCTGGGAGGGAGCAAGGATGCCCGGGGCCCGGCCCCAGCCTCTGAGGCCGTGAGAGTGACTGACAGCTGCTGAGGCCGTGAGTGACAGCGAGCCAAAGAGCAGGGGATGCTCAGGCCCAGACCTCGCAACACCTCTGAGTTCTGTTTTCTGACGCGAACGCCTGGGTTGGATGAGGGTCTGAGACCAGCGCGAGTTCCTGGTACAGACACAATATGTCCCTGCCTGCGTCACACAGGGGAAATGAAAGGCGCAGGTGTTGCGGGGACAGAGCCGTTCGGAGAGAGGGTGCCGGCCCCACCACCCGGAGACGCGGGAACCCTCTCTGGGCTCAGGACTTCGCGAGGCAAAGGGACCGCGCGAGGCGTTACCCAGCGACAGCACCGTCTCGTAGTTCATCCGCATGACCTCCCGGTACAGGGCCTTCTGGGGCTCCGTCAGCACTTCCCACTCCTCGTCGGAGAAGTAGATGGCCACCTCGTCAAACAGGGCGGGCACCTGGGGCGGGACAGGCCTCTGAGTGGCTAGCGGGCACACGCAGTGCCTCAGTCCATCCCTCCGGAGGGGCCCTCCGGGAGCCAGCTGCCTGCCCGCACACACCGCAAGAGGCCAATAGGCCGAGCACAGGCCCCGCACCCGAGCGGTTACTCTCCCTGTCGCTCGCAGACAAGGAGAACAGACTCCAGGAGAAGCCCCCAGGCCCCAATCCCCGGTAGAAGACCCTCCACAGCCAGGGACACCCTGAAAGCGCCCCCCACCCCGACCCCGCAGTTCCCTCCCCGTTGTCACAGCCCCTCAGCAGGGGCTGGTCTGGGTATGAGTTTGGGGGACAGTGCTGTCTGGACGCTGGTGTCCATTTCCCACTGGCCCCAGTGCTGGACTCTGAACCCAGAGCAGCGCCAGTGAGGGAAGGGCTGGCCCAGGCACACGGGCAGGAGAGAGGGCTAGTGGCAGCCTGGGTGGTAATGAGACCGGAGCAAACTGGACCAGCTTAGAGCCCTGAGGACGAGGGCGGCCCCTCTCACGGCCCCTGCGGGGAGGGGACGCTGGGCAGCTAAAGGCCGCCAAGCCACCTCACCAGCTCCTCGTGCTTACTCAGCCGTTTGCTTTAATTTTTTCTACGTTTTTTCCTTTCGGTCACTCAGAACCCTACTCCAAGGTCACCACATGCAGGACCGCCTCCTGCAGGCTGGCTACCTTGACTACTGCTTTCAAAGCTGTTCCCAAAGCTGGAGCACACTCGAGACAGGCAGGGAGCACTCCCTCCCAGAGAAAGTCTGGGACTCACTCACTCCAACCCTCCCCCCCCCATTCCCCTTTCAAACAAGCAAGAAGGAAGCAGGTTCAGAGAGGACGCGTCACTGTCCAAAGCCACGCAGCCAGTAAGCGGGACCGAGCAGTCTGACATCCAGGATCCAGCAGAGTGGCCCCCCGGTGCCCAGGCCTCCCTGCCTCCGTGCTCAGCTGTCCCCCAGCAACTCCTCTCCGCCTGCCACGCCCCGCACAGGGTTCTCCTCGCCTCCAAGCCCCCACCTCCCTCCCTTCCTGGCCTGGCCAATACCACCCCACATCCAGGACTCAGCCTACACGTCCCATTCCCGGACCTGGCTGGTGCCCCCCTCCACGTCCCTGCCACGGCCTGGGCCCTGCTCTGCAGAGGCACTCACCACCCAGCCCGCACAGGGACGGAAATACTGGCTCCGTGCCTGCTTCTCCCGGTAGACCACACGCCCACGGAGGGAGAGCCAGGCGCCTCCTGCTATTTCCCTGATCACTTCCACATACTTTTGAATAAAAGGTTTCGTTCCACTTGGAATAGCTGCAGAGGGTTTTACCTGACACAAACCCGGACCTAGACGTTGGAGTGAGAGTGGACAAAACCCCGGTGGAGACCAGGAGGACCCAGCACTGTCCCAGCTGCCCTCCCCCTCCCTGACCCTCCCCTTCCCCCCTCCCCTCACCCCCCCCCCCCTGGCTCTGTGGACTGACCCCGCGGAAACACCAGGTCCTGGCCACCCCTGTTTGTAGCCCCTTCCCTTTGCCGACAGGAGCCGCTTCCAACAAGCCCACGTTGTGCTGCAGAGGCACAGATGTCCCTCCCAGCTGCCCCGTGGCCCCGGCAGGGCTGCACCAGGCCGGGGCGAGCGCCTCCCTCTCCACCGAGCCTTTTCTCTGGCCCGGCACACGGAAGCCAACGGCGGCCGGGCAAGACTCAGGGGTCGGCAGCCCGAGGTCACCCCAGGCCACTCTGGCCGCCGGGGAGGGCACTCAGCCCTGCCCTCCTCCCTCCGCTCAGACCATCCCTGCTGCCCGGCGGGCTGTCCTCCCGAGGCTTATCTCCAGGGCAGTGCCTGCTGCACCCACACACCACCCGGCCCAGAGAGCCAGCGAGGATGGAGGAGCCGAGGGCGGTCCTGCTTCCAGTGTGTTATCTCACTGCGTCCCTCACATGACACACAGATATGGGGTCAGCATCCTTTCACGGGGAGGAACAGGCTGTTAAGTAACATGTGCAAAGCCACGGAGGGAAGTCTGACCCAAAGCCTGTGCTTTCTGCGCACTCAGGCCTTGCCCGGGACTGAAGGGAGCCTCAGCTTCCCTTGGGAAGATGCTTCAGGCCTGGTTCCCCCAGAGCCGCCAAGGAGAGGGCTCCACCTCCCCCAGCACCGACGCTCCCTGGCCGGGCCTGGCCCACTTCTCACTCCGTGTCCCCACCTCGCTCCCGGTTCTGGCTCCAGGACCTGCTCCCAGCTCTTCTGCCCCAGCTTCTGATCAGGCCTCCGCGCCGGGAACAGGAGCCCCTCGCTCCCCTTGGCGGGATCCACCGGTGACGAAGGCTGGGCTCAGAATCCGTCTCTTTTTCTCTCGACGCTGCATTGTTCTAGCATCCAGCACGGTCTATGTCTGCACGGTTTCCACTGATCACCCTCTCACACGCTCCACAAGCCAAATACCCGTGTGAGAAACGGATTCTTCCCCTCCCGAGGTTGGATGCCCCAGGGCAGGGTTTCGAACCTCCAACCTCAGCAGAGCCGACATTGTGCAAGACCGTTCTCTGCAGGGCGCTGTGCTGGACACTGAAGATGCTCAGCAGCGTCCCAGCCTCTGCCCAGATGATGCCAGCGAAACCTCGCACCCTCTCCCCAGTCACGATGCCCAAAGATGTCTCCAGATTTTGCCAAATTCCCCAGGAGGGGAGCCCACTGAGCAGGCCCAGGCCCAGGCCCGCCTTCTGCAGGAAGCCCCTTAAGCGGTCAGCCTAAGTGCAAGGCCCCCAGGAGCTGGCCTCCACTGCTGCGCCCCGAATCCTGTGCTGTGCTGTCGTCTGCTTCCTTGTCTGCCTTGCGAGACAGCGACTCCGTGAGCCTGGAGATCTTGTCTCAACAGCTCCCAGCTCACTTCCTCCTTCCCCAGGAGCACGGCCTTCACCTTGGACATGTCTCACTGTCCCGACACTCAGGCACCCACTTCCCCTGCACCCGTCTCCCAGGTCCTCCACCCACGGGATTCGGGGTGGGCTCCCACGCCTGGAGGTCTCCTCAGCTGCCGCTCCGGCCGGGAGCACAGGGGGCAGAAAACCCGGAGAGACTGCGGCCTCCACAGCCAGACCGGCGCCCAGGCCTGGCGGCGCGCTGTGTCTATTTTATAAAGCTGAGATATGCAAAACGCATAGCTTTTAAGGGTCTAGCTCAGGAGGCGTTTAAGAACAATCAGTGTCCGTGTGTGTCTTTTGGGAAAGCATAAGCTCCCTGCACCCCAGTTCCCTCAGGCGGGGGAGCGCCGGGTGACGGCAGCACTGTGAGCCTCCGGCCACAGATCTCACTGAAAAAGAAGGCTGTGATGCCACTGACAATGCGGACAAGCAGGGCAAACGAAGCCGAGAGCAGGAATGTCAGCTTGTGGCTCGTTTAGAATATTTACCACGAAGTCCAGTAAGGCCTGCGAGTAACTTCCTAACACAACGCCTCCTGTTACTCCGACATGTCTACAAGTTTCCCAAGTTCTCTCCACAGTTCTGTGTGGATACGCTCCCCATCCAGCTGCCCAGCCCCGCCCCTGCATCCAGGCCAGCTGGGGGTGCAGCTCTCCCTCAGCTCAGTGACCCCAAGGCTCGCTGAGAAGTGGTCCCCTTCAACCAGCCGCAGGTGACACCGGCTCCTTCCCTGTGAGGTCCCCTCCGTCCCCCTGCCCAGCTCAGGGTAGAAACCTCCCCACACACACACACTCCAAATATCCAATCACCCCGACCTGCCTTCAGCCGGGAGCCCGGGTCCTAAGCACTTTTTCGTCCACGCACCCTCCACATGCCTCTTGGCCGAAACCCGCCCCCCCTTTACTGTGTTTGGTGTGGAGCCAGGTCTGTGTGCCCTCCTATGACACTGTGACCCCTTTCTCCGTGGTCCTGGATAGGTCCTCCTTCCATGGAACAGCTGTCAGAGCATTCACACACGTGCTGGCACGCAGCGGGTGTGGGCACCGGGGTGCGGAGAGACTGGGCCTTGGCCTCCGAGACACAAGGGCCTGCTCAGGTGACCGCTCTGTTTCCACGGCACCTTTTAAAGCCACGGCACTGTTTTCCCGGGAATGCGGACACCGGAGCGGGGCTGGGCTGTTTCCTTCCTGTCCGGGCCGGAAGGATTCCCCCAAGCCCTGTGGGCCCCGCACCCTGACTCACCCAGGCGCCCTCCGAGCAGATGCGGACCTTCTGCATGTCGGTGCAGCCATCCTCCAGTTCCAGGCTCTGAATCTGTTCTTCGCTCTCCTCCACTTTCAGGGTCAGGTTCAGAGGGATGGCTGTGGACTCCATGTCTGCAAGCAAGACTCTTTCAGAAAAACCAGGCCAGTGTCAACTCTCATGGCCTGAAAGGGCGTGTGTGTGTGTGTGTGTGTGTGTGTGTGTGTGTGTGTGTAAGCGGGGGAGGGAGACACAGCTCCGCCAACACAACCTCTTAGCCCCAAGCTCTGCTGGACTGGAAGGAAGGGAACGGTCAGGCTGGGGAGGAAGGGGGCACCGGGAGGCTGGAAGGAGGGGCTGCAAGCAGAGAGCATATGTGGCTGCCTTCACAGGTTTAAAAGCTCTGTGGGCCCTGGCGGGGTACCTCATTGGTTAGAGCAGTGGTCGGCAAATATCAACAGCACAATGATTGAAATTTCTTTTGAGAGCTAAATTTTTTAAACTTAAACTACATAGGTAGGTATATTGTGATTATCTTAATTAGGGTACGTGGTATTTTGTGGAAGAGCCACACTTATGGGGCCAAAGAGCACATGTGGCTAGCGACGTATGCTCTTTGCCAACCACTTGTCCCCGTTCCCTCCCATCCGCCGAGGTTGCAGGTTCAGTCCCAGGTCAGGACACATACAAGAATCAACCAATTGATGCGTAAGTAATCGAAACAACAAATCGATGTTTCTCTTTCTCGCTCCCTTCCGCTGCTCGACAATCAATAAACAATTTACAAAGCTCTGCGGAGGAGGCCAGCCTGGTTCTGCAGGGACCCAAGGGCAGAACCGGCCCAGGGGTAAACATTCCTTCCGAGAAGAGAGCAGGGAAGGGACTCAGTCCCAGGGCTCTAAAGGGGGCAGGACAGGCTCCGCTGGGGGTTCCTACAGGCCAGCCGGGCAGCGGGAGGCTGTGCGGCTCAGAATGGCCATCACTGGGTTTTCCAGACTCAGAGGTTCTGTCCCGGAGCAGGCTCAGAAGCAATGGCTGGAGCAGCCGACAAGGTGCACCCATCTGCCAGGGCCGTCCCGGCCCGACCCCCGGAGCTCCTGGGGCGCTCGGGGCGGCACAAAGGGCCGCGCTCCTGCCCTCGGGGGCGGGCTGGGTCCCCAGGCGGCAGCCAGGGCGCATCCCGGGGGCCGACCTCCCGGGTGGCGGGGAAAACATCGCTCCCGAGTTCAAAGTCGGCTTCTCCCGTATTTCCTGAAAGGACGGGCGAGTGCAGCTGGGAAGGGGCTGGGGTACGCGGAACGGGCTTCGGATCCCCGCGCGGGGCCCCAACTTGACCGCGCTCCCCCCGCCGGCTCCCGGGGCGGCAGGTCGGGGTGGGAGGCGGGGTGCCCGGGCCTGGCCGCCGCCTGCGCCGCGGGTCTCTCCAGCCATCTTGTCCCCGTTCCCGTCTCCGCGCCCGGGAGGCCCGGCCCCGTCCGCCCCGCGCACCTGCCGATCGCCGGCGCCGATCGCCTCCCGCGTCCCGCCGGCCCGCAACAAAGGCGGCGCCGGTGCAGCCGCAGCCCAGCCCCCGCCCCGCGCCCCGGCCCCCGGCCCGGAGGATCCCGCCCCGCGCCCCGGCCCCGACCCGGAGGATCCCACCCCGCTTCCCGGCCCGGCCCCGGAGGATCCCGCCGGGCCTCCGCCCCGCGCCCTGCGCCCCGCCCCGGGCCCCGAAGGATCCCGCCCGGCCCCCGCCCCGCGCCCCGGCCGGAGGATCCCGCCCCGCCCCGCGCCCCGGCCCCCACCCCGCCCCGCGCTCCCCGCCGCCGCGCGCACTCACCGCCGGGCCGCCCGCCAGGCGCGGGGGACGCCGAGAGCCGGGCCGGCTGTCACTGCGCCATCCCGGCCTCTCTCCGGGCCCCGCGCACGGCCCCCCGGGAGGGAGCGGGGACACGTGGTGGCGGAGGGAGGGTCCGGCCGAGCGGAGGGTGTTGGGAGGCGCGGGGCGGAGCGCGCTGATGTCAGCGGCCGGGCGCCCGGGGACGCGCTCGCGCCCCCCCGCCCTCCCGCGGCTTCCGGCGCCCCGCGCGCCCCTCCCGCCCGCGCGCCCCGTGCACCCGTGCGCCGCGCGCGACCTCCGGTGGCGGCGGCGGGAACAGCGGGAGCGCGCGCCCCGCGGTGTGCAGAGTGACCAGCTAGGGCCGCAGGGGGCGTGGTGTGTGTGTGTGTGTGTGTGTGTGTGTGTGTGTGTGTGTGTGTGTGTGGTGTGGTGTGTGTGTGTCTGTGGTGTGTGTGTGTGGTCTTTGGGGTCGGTCTTGCTGTATTCTAGTAGACATGTGTGCAGAACTTGTTCATATACGTGGAGAAGGAACTTCCTGTTTAATCCCAAACCAAGTGTCTGGAAGGATCCTGCCCAAAATGTTCAAAGGAGCTGTTTGCTGGCAACTCCGTGGACCATACAAGAGTGGATAAGCCTAAAGCCCTTCTTGTTCTAGGACAAGATTCTGGGTTTGGACGTTGGGAATGCGTTCAAGAAAAAGTTATTCTGGCACAATGACAACGGAAAGGAAGTCTTTATTTGCGGTTATGGAGATAGGTGTCAAGGCAAGAGGGGCGAGACATCCACTCAACTCCATCCAGCAAAGACAAGTTGGGAATTACAGCTGAAGAGAGAGAGGGTCAGAGGGGAGGAATTCCCCAGCAGGAGGCAGGAGGGTTGAGGGATTCTTGCTAAACCGATTGGACAGGATTCTTGCAGGTGGCAGACTAGATTGATGTGACAGATATCAAGGGAGGTGGCTGGGGAGGGGGTTCTGTAAAATGACAGGATTCTTGCTAAAACCAGCCTGGGAGGTCAAGGACAAGAGAGGTGTGTGTGCCCAGGGCAGAGGCCTGCTGGGAAAGAGAGCCGGAGGACTTCAGTTCGGTCAAGGAGAGAGATTTGTCCACTTTTCCGGTCTGTCCCCAAGATCGCTCTCCAAGCTTTTGTGGCCATTTTGATGGGATTTATATGTGAATTTCACTTCTCTCTATATGGGAGGGACTACTGTGCAGCTCTTACTACACAAAATAGCGGGTAGCAGATACATCTCTGGAGTATAATACCGTGTTTCCCCGAAAATAAGACATCCTCTGAAAATAAGACCTAAAGCATGGAAAAAGAAGACACCCCCTGAAAATAAGACTTAGCGCAACTTTGGGAGAAAAAAGTAATATAAGACACTGTCTTATTTTCGGGGAAACAGGGTAGCAGATACATCTCTGGTGGACAACCCAATACCAGAGAAGGTCTAATGGAAGATTATTCAAATGTGGAGGGAAGAGGTGTTAGAATTTTTTATTTTTATGAACAGGTCTTTTGTGCGTAAAGATAGCATTTTCAGAGCAACAGTGACACCTTAGCTCACAGTGATTGCGTTCCCACCTTCTGAGGAGATGGCTGGTTGAGAGGAAAGAGAGGGAGGGTGTCAGGAGATGGGAACTGGGGGCATTGTGGGCAACTCGCCAAAAAGTATTAAGACGTAACAGGAAAACCAAAGAGCAATAGCAGGTTAGGGATTTAGTCTCTGAGAGCCCTAATGTTCTTACCGAACTTCGATTAGATTTCCCCTGGAAAAAGGCCGATCAGCGGAGACCCACCTGAATTCTTGACTTTGAGCCCCTGTGTGCTCAGGTGTGGTCTTGGGGCCCACTGGTACTAGTCCATCAGTGCCAACAAGTCCTGCGCGTGGGGACAGCTGTGGAGCAGGGACAAGACACTGCGGGAGTCCATGTGGACATCAGTCACGGTCTCTGCCTGGCTCTCCAGCTAACCAGATGTTGTCTGGGCCCCGCCCCCACCCTGCCACTTAGAGATTCCATTCTCAGGAAGCCAAGACTTCGTCTCGGTCTGAATGGGGAGTGACTGAAGCTAGTCCTTGAGGCTGTGCACGGCCGTGGCAATCCTGTAGGATGGAATTCTGTTGGTGGGTGGTTCATAAATGTGAGGCCAAGAAAGGAATCAGCATGACAGTTCTTTATTGGTGCTAAGATCTGGCTCCATCTTCCCTCCTCTTGAGTCATCGCAGTACTCAGCCATGCGGATTTAGAGAAGCCCCTTGGCTCAAAATTCTCACAGTGACCTGACCTTCCACAGAGCTCCTGGCCCCTCGCTCCAGCCCTTGGGGAATGTGGTAGATTGAGTGATCGGTCCTGTCCTTTGCGTCCCTATGTAGGACCCCCTCCCCATCACCCTATAGGTCTCCTGTGTGCAGAGTGTGACTCTTCCCTTGGCCCAGCCATGTGACATGCCTTGGCCAGTGAGATGAGGGTGGAGTTGCTACATGTATATCCTGAGCACACGTCCCAGAAAGTGCCACAGGCTTCCACTTTGCCGTTGGGAGCTTTTGTCCTCTGCCATGGCAAAAACATGCCGAGGCACGCGTGCCCCTCCAGCCTGGGCTCCAGAACGAGGCCTGTGCTGAGTGGCCGTCCTGTGAACATGAGCTACTCAGTGCCGGGGTGGCCGGATCAGGGCGTTTTTGTGGCAATGGCTGATGGACACAGTGATAACAGCAGCCTTGGACTTGGTGCTCTCAGTGGTGGCCCCAGAGGGAAGCTCCGAGGCAGGGCAAGGTGACTTGTTATTTCATGGTGGGAATCCTCAGGCATGTGGACAGGGACATTCTTGATTGGTGGGGAGGTGTGGGGAGAGGACAGCAAACGGGGGGGAGGTGTCACTGCTGACTGCATCTTTCTCTTCCCTGAGGCTGGCGCCTCCGAGGAAGATGAAGGCGTGACCTTCACTTTGGGTGTTTGCCAGGAAAGCCTCGGGATGTAGCTGCAGATGGTGACAGAATGGGAGAGACACCTGGTCTGCCCTGCTCTTGGGAGGGCTCACAGGGTTCTTGGAGAGGAGGTGTGTGGTTAGTGCGCCTCAGGCAGCTAAGGAACACTTAGTGTCTCACTAGGAGAAGAGAAAGAGAAATTTAATGCTGAGTGTAGACTAGCTACTGGGACAAACAGCCCCCAAATGTATAAAGGCTCAAACAATCAAAATTCTTTTGTTCACGTAACCGTCCCTCGTGGGTGTTCCTGGTCCAGGTGACTCTCCCCAGGCTGTGTGTGAGGGACCCAGGTTCCTTCCGTCTTGTGACTCAGTAGTTGTCTTT